TGAATGAAGGTGATTTTTTTTTTCTTCTTTTGCCACAATAGTATAAACATTTGTTTTTAATTGTAAAATTCCAAAATTGAGAGTGCGAGAGAGAGAAATACATGAGAAAGCGAAATAATGAAAAAAGGAAAAAAAAAATAAATAAAATAAAACAATTCTATTAGTTCTGACCGAATTGTAAATAACAACATTTGTTTTGTATTGTATGTTTTTGTACGTACTTACACGTGGATGTCCACACATATATACATTTATGTGTGTGTATTCGCAGGTATCTAGGCATGTATGTTGCATTCGTATACTTGCACTTTCGCGCGAGTAGACAGGAATTAATCTTTTTGCAATGCTCCATACTTGCACAAGTGTTTGAACAGTTGGCCAGTTTACGGGTTGACCAGTTGGCCAGTTTGCCGGTTGACCGGTTGACCGCTTAACCGCTCAACCGCGTAACCGTGTGCGATTAATGCACAAATGAAATCTTAACAAAAATTAAACGCTCCTACTTATTTCCATTTCAATAACTCTGCATCAAAAATGATAGTTTACTTTCTGTACAACTACATTAGCTATAGTTTTTATTTTGTCCTCTTTGTTTTGTTGTTCTTTCTGCAGTTGTAACACTTGCAATGTGGCCAACTGTATTGGAGCTAATGATCTTTTGTTTTGTCTAAATTTATAGAGTTTGTGATTCATTTAATTTTTAATCTTGTCCCTAATATTTACGCCACTTATAGCTCAGTTTTAATTTTTTCTTTTTCTGTTCCGCTTGTTAGGCGCCCCTTTTGCCATTCCGTGCTAATTCATGCCACTTCGTCTCCACGTCGTTTCGACGTCGTTTCCATTTTTCTATCCCCCCTTTTTTTTCGTAGCAGTCCACTCTGCAGTAGCGCGTCAATTGTATACCCCTAAACAATTTTTTGTTTAAGCCCATGTAAATTCGTTACCATATGTCTATGTGTTAATTTTTAATTTTTGTTTACGTGCGTCATTTTAAGTTCACTAGCCTTATCTTTCATTTGTTGTTTTTGTTTTTTTAACACATATATATACATACCTATATGTGTTTTTTTTTGTTTTTTTTTTGTTTGGTTTATCTCTGACTGTTTTATTAATTTGATTAACCCCTTTGTTTGGTTGTATTTTCTTGCGTCAACAAATATGTAGAAAGAAAATACTACAAAAAAAAAAAAAAAACGAACAAAAAAGTGTAAAAAAAAAATCCGAGTGTACGAAAAGGTACACAAAGAGGCTTCAAAGGGCTGTAAAAAGGATACAAAGAGGCTGTAAGGAGGCTGCAAAGAGGTATACAATTGTACAAAAAAAAGAAAACCACACACATAAGCACTTCACGATATAAGCATCAAGGTAAATGAACTACAGAACAAAATAAAAAATACGATAATAGCTTCCACATGAGTTCTACACAAACCTGAAGCAGTTCTGAAAAGAGAACAAACAGAAAAATAAATTAAAAACACGTATGCATACGGCAGCTGTGAGAATACGTTGACCAACAGCACTGGAACAGTTCGACTAAATGTAAACAGGTTAAAAAAGCTGTTTCATAAAATACATATTTTTGACGAAGCGAAAAAATTTCAGAAGAGGAATATAATTTAAAAAAAAAAAAAAAAAAGTCCTTTTCTGCGGTGAGTGTATATTCAACGCTGTACATGTATGTGTGACGAAGAGTTGGAAAATCAACACGAGCAGATAAAAATATTAATGTGTGTATATGTATTATTGCGTGTACACATATCTATGCATGCGTGCGCGTTTGAAAGGACAGTTTTTACCACCTGCACGTCCACACCCGTAGATATAAGCCAATTTCGACGCTTCTACAACAGCGGACTTGGAACACCACATTGTTGTGAAAGAGCGCATCCTCCACCTCAGCAACAAAGATAGAAGAACAGGAACAAATAAACAAACACACAAACAAACAAACGAACAAATATTTTCTCAAAAAAAGTAAAAAGAAAAAAAAAAAAACATGGATTTTCCAGATATGAAAAAGAACCCTAAACCGTTGAATAATAACAGCAAAGACAACCCCGAATTTGCTGATAATTATTACAAACGGAGTTACATAAAAGGGAGAAAAAATGAAGAAATTAAAATAGGGTCCAACCTGTCCACGAACAATGACGTTTTACAACTACCCAGCGTGCTCCACAACCAAATTAGGATAATACGGACAAATGAAAGCTGCTTTAAAGACTACGTCGTTTTGAATAACCTAGGAAAGGGAACATACGCCCAAGTATGGAAGGTGAAGCATAAAGTTACGAACGAAATATTTGCAGCCAAGTTGTTACAGCCAAATCAATTTCCGAAGGAATCATTTAACCGAATCGTTGAAATGTTTACAAAAGAAATAATCAATCTATCCATATGTCAATGTCCTGGAGTCATCAAATTACACAAAGTTATAGGAGGAAAAGAAGGATGGATATTAATACAGGATTATGCAAATGATGGCACCTTGTGGAAGGAAAATTTATCCAGCAATATGTCTGAAGCCTTTCTCTACTTCATTCAACTCTTACAAGGCATGTGGTATATCCAAGACATGAATATTGTTCACAGAGATTTAAAACCAACAAATATTTTAAGATACGATAATAAGAGGATAGTCATAGCGGATTTTGGATGGTCCGAACATATCGATTCTTGCAATTTACACCCGACGGAATGGCCAGGGACGTTAGAAATTAACCCCCCAGAGATACTCAGAAATACGGGACCCATGACGGAGAAAATTGACAACTACGCTCTTGGGATGAATATGATTTTATTCATTTCAGGAAGATTCGTCTGTCGACAGAAAGGAATCGAATGCTCAAAAGTCGCGCAAACTATTTTGAAAACTGTGCATAATTTGAGACACTCGAAACCCCCTAGCCGATTCAGGGAAAACCTGAAAGCATGGGACTTATTCGTCAAGTTGACTTCCTCCAACCCTAGTGAACGATTAAGCCTGCAGAATGTGCTGGACCACCCCTGGGTGACAGAGATGTTAAACAATTTTAGCCTGCAGAATTCGAAGTTCCTGTGGCATGAGAAGGTTAAGAGCAGGTGGATTTACCTCCTCTCGAATAACTGGAACTTTTTCAAGAACATCTCCTCCATTTCGCCCAGCGATGTGAGCGGAGGGAGCAGCGCAAATGGGGCCAATACGCCGAATATGTCGAGTGGCTCCACTACAACCCACGCGGTCTACTCAACCAACACAGTCAACACAGTCAACGCACTCGACCCAGTCAAAGCAGCCAACACAGTCAACACCATTCCACTCAGCGCGAACGGCAAAATGAAGCAGAACGGCCAACGAGACAAGGACGACGCTTCTGCTTCCAAGGGAAACAAAAACGCAACCGTCGTCATGGACGCAGACACCCCCAAGGACAAAACTAGTAACAATAAATATTCACATGCCTGCCTCAAAAACGACTACGAAATTCTCTACTATATGATGAAGAATAATTTTAAAAATAGAATAAACTGTTGCTCCGTGAAGAAAAATAGCGACCCCTGTAACTCCAAAAGCAACAACAGCGGAACGAAGCAAAGTAGAGAGGCCAGAAGTGCGGTCAAAACCGACCACAGAACAATCACCAGCAGCTACAACAATGATAGACTCTTGAACAGGGGGGGGATCGCTGGTCCTACTGCCACGTCTCTTCATCATAATAGCTACAGTGCACATGGGAATGCCGACGCCCTGCATGGATCCCAAGCCGCGTACGTGGAAAACACCAAGGAGGATAACTTTCTGGTCATAAACGATGGCGCGGAAAATCCCAGCAAGGACAATCTTGGGAAGAAGAAAAAGGAGGACCATATCACGAAGGAGGAAAATGAACCAATCGTGATAGACGACGAGGAGGACGATGAAGTAGACGAAGCAGATGAAGTAGACGAAGCAGATGAAGTAGACGAAGCAGATGAAGTAGACGAAGCAGATGAAGCAGATGAAGCAAACGAAGAAGACGAAGCAGATGAGGCAGACCAAGAAGACGAAGTAGACGAATCAGATGAAGCAGACCAAGAAGACGAAGTAGACGAATCAGATGAGGGAGGTGACGTGAGGGACAACTGTTCTGTGCACAACAATTACTCGCGCAAGGAGAAACAGGCACCACATCGTGCCAGCCTCAGGGAAGAATCCAAGAATGGAAAAGTTAGCCAGGTCAGTTATGCCAGCCAAATCGTCAAAAAGAAAGGCACTTACCACGAAACGTGTAGCGGGGGTCACGATGACGAGTTCCTGGATGAGCAGGTTCGAGACATCGAGCTGGGGATCACCGAGGGGGAGGAAGCGAGGGATGAAGGCGATGCGGAAGAGGAAGACGAAAACGACGATGATGAAGATGATGAGGAGGACGATGAGGAGGAGGCGGATGAGGGGGACAACGAGGAAGATGAGGACCACCACGACGAGGAGGAACAAGAAGAACACCACGGTCGAGACGACCGCAGCAAAAATGAGCACAGTCACAACCGAACAGTGGACAGCAAAAACAACCCAGTCACCTACATGAAAAGCGGGAGTAATAATAATCACCTGAAAAGTGTACCGGAAAAGTGCTACAGCAGGAGCGACACATACGATGATTTTTTAAACTACAAGGGGAAAAAGAATGTGCTTAGGTATGGAAACACCGTAGAGGGGATCCACAATGGCAACGGGAAAAGTTCTAAGGAGGGAATGGCCCCAGATGAGGATTCCCTCTTTCAGGAAAGAAATCGTATTGTTAGCATTAAGTCATCCGACGAGAAGGAAGAGGCGAGTCGCTCCAGCTGCAAAGACGCTTTGGACAGCAAAGCATCGAAATGGTTTTGTGCAAAAAAGGATCAACAGATGCTAACGGAGCAGTCAGTGAGTTATACAAAGAACACGACGACCCATATGAGGAGATTTCAAGACGGGCTTCTTACCTTTAGTGAGTCTAAAAATCTGAGATTATCGAAGGACCAAACGAAAGGTGAGTTGGCGGAAAAAATGTGCGAGAGGGACACCACCGGGAACATGAGAAGCTCGCACAAAGGGGAGGAAACCAATGGGGAGGACACAGAGGAAAAAACAGATAGCCAAAAGAGGCCATGCAAATATGAAGGAACACGAGAAAGGAGAGTGTTGGACCTGGAAGATCTCCAACCCCGAGGGAACAAGTGGATGCAGGGGGAAGACTCACCGCCATATGACGACGCAATGGAAGGTGAAGATGATGATGACGATGAAGATGACGACTACGATGAAGAGGAAGCCCATGAGGACGAAAATTACATCAAAATTTACGCCAACAACTTCAACATCGACAAATCAGGGAAGCAAAGAAAGTGCGCCAAGAAGACAGAGTCCTTTTCCAACAAAGTGAATTCAATATTGGAGAATTCGAAGGAACTAAAGAAGAAATTAAAGAAAAATTTATCCAGTTTGTACGAAATGGGTTTAAACGAAGGAGAGGAAGGGGGCCACATGGCCGCCGCGTATGAAGAGAAACGTTACCAGTTGGACCCTCCCAATCCGGAAAGTATCATCACCTGCAACGGAATCCGCACTGGCAGCCGAAATGGCAGTCGCGTCCAAGTCAGCCTCAATCAAGAAAAGGTCCCAAACATAAGGGGCCAAGTCGGTAGCAAAATGGACAGCAAAATGGACAGCAAAATGGACAGCAAAATGGACAGCAAAATAGACAACAAAGAGGGCAAAATACGTTGCACCGATTTCGGGCCGCACCAAAAAAGGATCACCTCCCTCTACGCAAATTCTGAAGCAATCCAAATGGACATGAACAAATTGGGGAAGCACATCCATGATGAGAATACCTTGCCGAAAAAGAAAAAAATTGGAAATAATTCTTTCTTAGTAGCGGAAGGGAAAACTAGTGAAAAGGTGCACTATGACTGTGAGGAGAATATGACAGAAGGGGAAGGTCACATCATTGCAGATAGAACAAATTCGTGCCAGATGGAGAGATTAAATAATAAACAAGAATCATTTGACTGCCCCACCCATTTGAGGGGATACTTCAACAAGACTACTCCACCCACTGCGTCAGACATTGGTGGGAAGATGGAAAAGCCGAGCCACCTTTCCCGAAACGTCATAGACAGCTGCCTCAGGTATATGGAAGACTCTCGAGTAAAAAACAGCCATCCAGGCCGCTTTGCTTGCTATGCGGAGGGGGAAAACGTAGCACACAAGGGCAAAAAGAGTCACCCGTTTCGAGTTAGGAGAAGTGGTGACATAGAAAAAGTGAACAATAAGTTTCCGATGAAAGAGAGCGAACAGCTGAGCCGAACAAATTGGGAAATTTTTTCAAATAAGGATCAAACAAGAGAATGCGTCAATGTTCACATGAACCTTGACAAGGACAATGACGATAAGAGTCAGCGCTTGGGAAATAAAAAAAGCACATCCATCGAAGCAATGGCGAGGATGCCGTCCAAAAATAACCTCTCCAATTATAGCATTAACCACCGTGGTACTAACAAGGGAACAAATTACGAATATGAAAATGATTTCTCCTCCATCCTGAACAAAAAAAAATTGCACCGGGAAAATAACCTCAACAATGATGTAGAGACAGTCACAAATCGTTACGTGGAACAAATAAAAGATACTCCTAAGGATGGAAAAAACAGCAGGCGGATCTCCATCAGCACCATCTTTCCAGACGACATCAGACAAAGTAATAACTCCAGACAGAGTAATAACCGAGGGAATAGAAATGAAAAAGATTTCTCCTCCAATAATGACCCCACCACCCATCTGTCAGACGAACCCAATAGCAGCAACGACACAAACGATATTATCATTAATAATTTTATGAATAATACAAAAGGGGGTGGCAACTATGATAGAAGCAAAAAGACGGCGGAACACCATCTGACGGGAGTCAATCTGGGCCAATTCGACGCAAAAGGAAAATACGACCCCTCTAGCGCAGACAAAAGACACAATCACTTTGCCAGCAAGAAGGGCTACGACAAGAGCGAGCACTACTACCCAGCCAATAATTGGAGAAAATTAGCCGAACGCAACAATCAAGGTGACACACGAGGTGGCAGCTTCCCCTCCATGGCGAATTACGAAACCAGTTACGAGGAGAATGACTGTAATAGCAGCAGCAGGAGTGTGGACAAGAGCGACCCTTTGAGTTTTATGAGAATGTTGAAATCGCTGGGCGGTGAGGAGCACTGTGGCAACTGGATGAGCAGCACGAGGAGCAGAAACGGAAGCCGAAGTGACAACCGCAGTCGGAACCCATTTGTGGCGGCCAAGGAGCGGTACGAGGACCTACTGTTGGGGGACCTCCCCCAGGAGGGGAAGACACCGAGCGAGAAAAAAGCCTTCAAAGCGGCGGGGAAAGAAAGAAATTCAATAAACCTTCAAATGGAAGGTAACGCAGCGAACCAGGGTACTCTGTCCCATTGCGCCGTGCGAGGGAATAAGACGTTCGACGAAGTGCATCGTGGTCAGGCCGTCAGCACGCATGCCAACTTGGAGGGAAACGAAAAAGGAGGCGAAAGACGAAGCCAGAGCCGAAGCGAAAGCAGAAGCGATAATCGGAGTGACAGCCGAGGTGGAGGTGCCGACAACAAGCCGAGCGCGTTTCTCCACCCAAGCAGCTACACCAAGGCGACCATACAACTCGACGAAACCATTCGCGATAACTTTAACAAAACGTCCAGCTCCTCCACATATGACTACAGCGATTTCGATTTTCATTGCTCATCCAACAAGGACAACATTGTGGAGTCATTCAGCACCGACTATAAGTTAACCACGGCCAGGGAGAAGGTTGTTATGCCGAGGCAGAAGAAGGAGGAGAAGCAGGAAAGGCTCTGCTACCACCAAACGGGCGCCAGGTTTCAGGTCCCCAATTAATACTTTAATGATTTGCGAGGGAGACGATTCGCAGGAAAAAAGGGATTCACGACCGGAGGAGAGAGATGGAGAAAACACAGACGGGCACACGACCATTTTCAAAGCACCCCCCAGAAAGAAGACACCACATGACGGCTTCGACATGCCACACCAGGAAATGCAGCTTCATCATAGGTGACACTTCCACAGACGCCTCGGGTGAGGGGTAGCCATTTTTTGCGCTTCTACTTGTGAGAATTGCCCAGGTGGAATATTCGCACTGGAATAGCTACCAGGGAGCATGCCCTCAAAGAGTGTCTCACAGGGGAATCCTCCCTCGAGGCTCTTCACGGGTCCGCGTGAGTAGAGAGTGACAGCTGAGTAGTCCGAATGGTAAGGGGGGAGAGGCAATAATGCCCCTGACAGCGCAAGTGAGAGCGATGATGAACAGAAAGTATTAATAATGGATCATGCTGAAATTGCCCATGGGAGCACCCAGAACGGAGCGACGCCACAGGTACATACAAAGGACAGACGAAAAGTACACCTTCACAAACCCACGCACATTTGTGCATTCTTATCCTTCCTTTTTCTTCAAAAAGGAAAAAAAAAAAAGGGGGGGTTTTTAATTTTTCTTTTTTTTTTTTTTTTTCTTTCCCAGTTTGTTTTCATTATAAACTGTTTCTGCTAAAATTTACACACCTATTCGTAAAAGAGAAAAAAAAAAAAAAGGACTAAAAAGAAAGTTGCGATGAATGGTTGCTTGCCTGCTTGCTTCCTTGCCTCTTTGCTTCGTTGCTTCTTTTCTTCCATGCTTAGTAATTGTTTATTTGCAAAAGGGGCGCTACAAATCATGTGGAAAATTTTATGTCTACACAAACTTATCACGACGAACACGGATGATTCTTTAAATGTTACGTAGAAATTGTTTAGTACAAAAGGGAAAGAAGTAAAGGGTGGTCTCTTATAATATGGGGAGAATACTCCCTTAGCCAGTCGCTGCATAGTCATCGATCTCTGTGCCACATACACGGAGCTGTGTTGTTCGTGTAGGCCAGGAGTAGGCGACATCACCCAATTTGGTGAAAATGTGTTTGAAGTGGCTCATTAGGATGTGTTCTGCCTTCGACATGGCAAGGAAGGTGTCTTTTTCTCTTCTTTCTTTTTTTTTGCACATTATTTGTGGATACCTAGAATATAGCCATCTAATGTTTCTCTTGTGTAAGGATTCCCAAAGGCATATGGATCAGTGGCAACGGTTAGCAATCACGCCAAATTGTGCAGTAGCGCAACTGCGTAGCTGCGAAACTGTGCCGTTGCTTGCCTTTTCATTTGCACCCCCTCCATATACAACAATATTACCCACTGTATGGGCACACAATATGAGGAAGGAACCACTTGGGGGGCATTGCAATGAAAATGCGTGTATATTGTGCCCAGTTGGGATGGGCCAAGTGACAGCCCCCTTCTCCCACACACATGGGTCAAAACTCTAGTGGTTAGTATACAAAAAAAAAGGGGACGAAACTGCTCGTTTGCATTGAAGGTCCTGGAATTGCAGGGAAACTATGCACATATGGGGGGAGGGGACATAGGCGTGAAGCCATCGTAAGTATTCAAATGGGCGGACACCAATATCGGGGGGAACGAACGAACGCTTGTATGTGCATACATCCTCGCGGATGACACATTTTTGGGGGTATCTCCTTTTGTACCCTTTACACGCATGTTCACATTGTATGCGCCATTTTTAGCGCGGCATCAATCCTGGATGACACTCTCGTGGCTAGGAAAACCTTGTTCCCGTTCAGCCCTAGAGGGAAGATAAGCCCACAGCACATTATACGTAGTGAACGCCTCATGCCTGCGCATGGTCAAATAT